AGCTCGGACAGAACATAGAATTTTTTCCTAATGGTCTTCCTTGTCCACTATGTGGGCGTGGGATGATAATCGGTTCAGGGTCATGCCTTGGGATTTGATTCTTGGCAAGAAAGCCCATCCGAGTCTTCAAAATAACTTGTGAGTTCATAAAGAGGCACAATCTTCACTAAAAGACAGTGCCCCTATCTCTGACCGCCGCTTACCTGACGCCTCTTCGAGCAGAAAGTCTTAAACAGCTGTTGCATAACTTAACTCAAGGCCAGTTTTGGAAACAAAACTGGCCGATATCCAAGAATCATCAATATAGATTTTCCTTGATCAAATAAATACAAGAAAAAATAGGCTACCTCTCTAATAGAGGGACTGAGATAATCAATCTCCCTTCCATTACACCAGTCAATGTAAAGTCTCCATCAGAACTCGTACTAATGGCTGGTGCTGTCCGACTGTACTAAAGCGAGGAACTCGAACAACTCTGCAGAAAAGCCTTGCACTTGCACAAGTTTATTGATAGCCTCCACGCGTGAAGATATAATAATGACGCGGTAGAGTATCGTACGGTTGGAACAACAGATCCGAAAGATCCAGCAACTCCACCCTCAACGAGAGGTATGGGACAGGACTGACCCAATCCAGGAGCAGTCTTCTTGTCCTTGTCTCCCAAAGGGTACCAATCACCCCCCTCCATCACCACAACCTAGGTCACACGAGGTGCCCAGGGGAGTAGGCCAACAGGCAAGGTCTCTACGTCAGCAGTGAGAGAGGGGAGCGCAGATGAAAACAAAAACGTCCGGGGAGATGATGGGATCACCATCGGCCTGCACGAAAACAAAGTCTCGTGCCAAGCACTGCCCGGTTCACAAGCTGCGTTCTTAACCGTATAATGGTAAAGGTCAGCTGGGCTCCGGCAGCCTGTGCTTGTCCCAACAAGGGGCGAGAGACGAGATGTAGGGTACCCCCGTTAGAGGGGGGTCCCCCTCCATAGGAGAAGTGGACGCTCCCTTTCCAACTTGATGTGAGTTGGCCCCCAGACCCTCTTAAGGAGAGATCAAAGGTATCTGAGGTGACTGGCAACTGCGCTCCCGGGTCAAAAGCAGTTGAACGATGCATGTTCGTCTCAGTATTATCACATGAAAAACTGACTCATTGGGAGAAAGGCCCATCGCCGCAATCGATGCCTCAATCACCTCAAAGATGAATGGTTGTGAAGGTCTTGTGTCAGTCGTCGATCCCGCTTCATTGAGCAGTGAATCTGACCGTGGCAACTCTTGATCTTCCTCAGTCCGCGAAAGGAGAGATTTGTTTTTCACTCATTGAAAACAGACACATTGTTAGCTTCGGTTGGGGAAATCCCCTTTTAGAGTGATGCACACCAGCTTTTTTTGCGATCGCTTGCCCTCAGCTTCAACCCCACCTCAAAGTGCTACCACGATCGAGAATGCCACAGATCACAAATTGCGACTATAACAAAAATGACAGCACACATGTTTCGGGTCCCAAACTGGCAGCTCTTAGTGGCAAGATGAGCGTATCTTATGTGCTAAATTTAGTCAGCACGTGAGAACGTGAAAAAAAAGGAGTAAATCCCCCCCCAAGGAATCGAAGCGAATTCAAACTGAGCTGGCGATTTAACAAAAACAGTTGCCTTAATAATGGAAAGGCCTTACTGTTGATCGCACCAACACTAGATTTCTAAGAAAATCCCAGTGGAGATCTGTAATCTGCCTCTTTTGCAGCGGGAAAGAAAAATTTCGTCTATACCGCAGCGGAACATAGAGAATTTAAACTGACAGGTCTTGTGTGCGTGATCGCCCTGGAGGGTGACCCCCCAGGCAAGACCTTTTCTTAAGAGAGGGGGGGGCAAGGGTTATTTTCATTCAACGTAATTACAATATTTTTTTGTTCGTATAACATAAATTGAAAAAAATAAATTCCGTAATTCTGTAATCACAGGCTGGACGTACAACATAATCAATCAAATATTTTTTTCGTACACTGTAAAAATGTGTCATTTTTCTCGATACGTACAAGAATTTACATCCAAATAAAAAAATCGTAAAGAATAATCCAGGGAAATTATATCTTAGAGACTGTAAAACGACTAGATGACAAAATTCACTGCAAAATTGAATGTCAAGACGTAAAAGGCCATCTAACCGAATGAAGAGCATTACGAGGGTAATATGCGCATGTGTCTTTACACACGACGCAGCAATGGCGGAGAATTTGAGTCGAAGAGCTCTTCGGACCATTTAATGTTCTATTTTTTATCACTGTAAACACGTCTTTTTTTCCTTGTAAATTGTAAAAAGTCCTTTTTATTTCCCGTAAAACTGTACCAGCTACCCCCCCCCCCAAGAGAATGCTATCATAGGGTGTTTCTTTGGGACTAGAGTATATTCTCTGGTAGTTTCCGTTTGGGGCTGTAATTTGTAATTAAGTCTAACGAGTAATAAATGAAATTTATTATTTCCACGGATTTTCTGGTAGGCGATGTAGTAAACAATAAGGTTGACGTTTTACTATATTTTTAGATAAGCTTAATATGGGATGATTCCCATAGCTGTTGGATGAAAGTGAAATTGAATTGGTCATTTCTGATATAGTCATAGTTCTGCGTAATTATAGCATTAAAATCAGTAACCAATGGACAAGTCGGTGTACATTTATAATAGTTCCTGGTATCCCGTGGTGTCGACGTTATTGAGCAACAAAAAAAGGTTGTGATATTACGACCAGTCGTCCGAGAGCCGGTGTTTATTAGACAAGATTGTACTTGTTACTTCGGAAATATTTTATAAATTTAAGCATGGGTATTAAAAATGATACTAATTATACTTTGTCCAACTTCATTGTGCGTGTAAGAGTGTGAAAAAGTTTTCCATAGTTGTATGAATGGTTAATAAATTTTCAAAGATAGCGTGGATCCTACAACGCAAAATAACCTCACAACACTGCGCATTTCTGCTGACCCAAAGTGATTCTATGGAGAATTGACCCCTTCGCACATATACTGCTAAGCAACCCGAAACTAGTCCATTAAAGGAAAAGTCAAAGCTAACAACAATATTTCCATATAAAAGAGCTCGACAAATCTAAGAACATGCAATTTACAGTATACTGTAAAGGGGGTAATTATTCACTGGGTTTTAATTTAACTTATTTCGCTGACTGGAAAAATGCGCTAAATTACAACACAGTGAATATGTAAAATTTAGCATAGAACACATTATCTAAATGACGAAACAGTGAATTTAAAACCCACTGAATATGCTCGAAATGGTAAATCGGTGAAATTTAAACCCAGTGAA